GATATGCAGGCTTTTATATGTAATTTGTATAACTATCATATACTACATGTACAGGTCTTGGCATTCTTAATGCAAAAAAGAGTCACAAAATTTGGTAACAAACTCTTTTTTACCATTAACTATAATGACAAAAAAGTACATTTTATTGACAACTCAAAATCTGCTAATTTTATGCCACCTATAGACTATGGAAAATACAAAAAAAATTTCATATCTTAGCAATTAAGTCAAGTGATTAATGATGAAGTTATTGATAATCGAAGTAATGGAGTTGATACATGGCCGCATACCACTGCAGCTCCATCTAACATCTCCCCACTATCATAATAACTTGTTGACATCCCATACATTTCTGGCTGTTGTGATGAGAACATTGACTCATGACATAAGGAGCAAATTAAATTGATAATCCATAAACTGTGGCTAATGTTATGCCACTTATAGACTATGAAAAACACTTTAACTGTTAAGAAATTACAATTTTATTTTTTAGCAAATTAAGTGACTAATAACTTGAAGTTCTTTACTGGTACTTTATAGTATAGTGCGTGGGCGCATCAAAGGCACCACCCATTCATTATATACCATACAACACGCAGAGTGCTTTATCTGCTGCAATTATAAAACTGTTCCACATGTATAGCATAAAGTTTTATATTATAAACATACAATAATTATTACTTACACTATCTTCTGACATCTCAAGAGTATGTGTATGTTTTGACATTAGCTATAAACAGAATTAAAAACTGTTAAATCATGCCAACTAGTAATTATACAAAAGAAGATGACATCTTTGCTAAACTTTTTAAAATAATATTTATTACCTTTGGCATCTTAGTAATCAATAACTCAGCAATTTCAGATCTAGATAACTCAGGATTGATACAATACTACATAAAAATAATAAGCAACACATTCTCACAGCACTTAACAAATTATACAGTAATGCTGTGAAGAGGTGAATTAACTTCAAGTTCGATTAACCTCTAAAATACTTACTTTCTCACAAGCAGCAGTCACATCAGCTTGACCTTTAGTAATCAATAATTTGATAACTTCAGTTGATCTTAGACGACCTTTTTCAATTGCTAGTAACAGAGGAGTGTTACCATGCTAGACAATTAAAATTAATAATAAAAAATAACTTAGTATCAGGTGACGTTAGAGTTATACTAAAACAACAAAATTAAAGTTTTCAAAACATCTCTTTTGCAAAATTACTGTTCAGTTCAACTTTATTTAATAAGAATCTTGTTTTAGATTATGAGAAATTCAACATTACAATGGTGACTCTATAATGAACACTTCGAGATGCTGTACATGCTGGGCTAAACTAAAATATGCTGAAAGACTACTTATACCATGTACATGTAGCTCCAAATTTTTGTCAGTGTCAATCTTAATTTGTTGTTTTTGTCAATAAAATTGTCATCATTTCTGTTATAAATCCACATACAACCCACATGGAACAAAAAAAATTAACAGTTAATAATTTTGTCAAACAAAAATGTGTACATGTCGGAGATTTGGTAATAATTAATAGTGTAAAATTATATGTAAAGTATTCATGCATTTATTAAATACGTAGGCAATATGCATGTACATGGAAATCTTACTTTATCCACAACATCAGTTTTAGCTCCATTAGTTAATAGAATATTAACAATTTCACTACTCCGCTCAACAGCATAAAACAATGGAGTACTGTTGTCCTTTAAATGCATAATACAATTAGAATTAAATGATACTTTCATAATTTTACCTTATCCACAGCATTCACATCAGCATTTCCTTTAGTTATTAATAATTTGATAATATCAGCATTACCAGT